TGATTCACAGATGTAAAAGAAACAGACGGACACCAAGGCTCAGAAAGGGTAAGATGAGTACTGTGATAGGGGTCGAATATAACATATAGTGGGTGAGGGTAGTTTGAAGTGAGAAGTCAACTGCCGGTTAATAGACTTTTTTGCCGTATGAGTATCGTTGCCCAGGGTGCACCACGTGGAGGTAAGTCTATCGCGCACCTCACTATGCACATTATAATATTTGATAAAGCTCATAATTGTTCCGAAGTGTATTAAGGCGATTTATCGTAAGAGTTCATCCATGAAAATTCAAATTATTTACAACACTCGATTTGAAGTTCCTCAAAATTGAATTGCACAGGACTCACTGAAAGTGTTGAAGTTGGTCGTCCATCTCTTTTACCACTCTAGTCCCCTCTTTTCTTTCCGGACAGTAAGCAACTGTTAGCTGAAAAGCAAGATTGTGTAAACTACAACTCCCTGCTTAAACCCGGGAGAAGGAGCAAAGAAGTGTCGCAACTCACAGACATTAATTAAAAAAAAAACAATTATAAAGAAGTGTTCATACTATTGACCAGAGAAGATGGAGCCAAGCAGCATTACTTGTTGTTACTTACGTCCGAAAACGGGCCAATCAATGATCAACTGTGACTTTCCTCCATGTGTTGCAACCTGGGCAACGTATAGGCATACAGTTAAGGTGTCTATAAATCAATCGGAAGTTGACTTCAAACTAACTGTCTCCAGACTGTATGTCATATTCAACCACTTCCTCAGCCCACATCTCACCCTACTCTCAACCTTTGAGTCTGTTTCCCTGCCTCTGTGAGTCACTCTTCTGTTCCCCACTCCTCCTCCCCTCAACTCCTGTGAAGACCGAAGTAAAGCAAAGGGCTTATGCTAACTATCATAAGGCCTGTCATTTAATATCAATAAATGATCTGCCATAATGATGACGGAATGTTTCGTCTTTAGGGAGCACGAAATCGATATCGCGCTTCTTTGGCGGATTGAAGCGTTACCTCAACATCACATTATTTATTTTTTCAACTTTAGCGGCGCTAGATTTAATTATAGATGCTTTGTCTCCCCTATGAGTCTGCCTTTAGTTTCTAGAGGCCTATCTTCCACGTATTTCTCAAATTGACGCGTAAATAATTCTGTCCGTTATTCAGCATTAAATGCAACTTACTAAGGCACTTAAAATTATGAGCCTCCCGAAATCGCATCTGCTTAGAGCATAACCCCCCCTCCCCCTCTCCCCAGATGGATTGGAGAAGGTGATAATTGGATGGGACGAGGCCTGGCGAACATGGAAGATATGGCAGAACCTCTCAATCCAATCCATGGTTTTTTCGAAGGTTGTTCCCATTTCGAAAGTTGGTCAGCTATTGGCGCATATGGAAGAATTATCCCTTTCTGCTCTGGTAAATAAACTTGGACGTTTGCCTTCTAATTTTTGGGCTTAGTGTCTTCAGATGTTGCCGATATACTTCGGCAGCAACCACTACAATTTTAGCGCTTCATAATAATCTCCACTAAATTCATAGCAAAAGGCGTGCCCCAACTTAGGGGAGACAACTATTGATTTTTCCACTAACAATGTCGCAAACTACCTGATTCTCGCCACTAGTAGTACCAATTTGGTGCAAAAAAGGACAAATTCATGGTCTTGACAGCAAAAAATGTACTTGTTTATGAACTCATCTTTGTTATTAGTGGGAGAGTGCCAACGATTCAAGTGAAATTGCAAGTTAATCATGGACCTGTGGGTTTCTAAAGCACACTCTTTCACAGCTAAAACCGAGAACATGATTTAGATTCTAATGTGTCATAACCTCAATTCAAGGTTCACCGATAAAAGCCATTGATAATTATGTGATTGGATTCAATTTGGTGCTTACATTTTTTCCATCTTTCTCCAAAAATAGCCACTTCGAGAGACTGATGAAAATTAGCATACATGAATCAAACTTTTTGGTTGATCTATTGTGCGAAAAGGAGCATTCGCACTTTCCTGTGAAACATTTCAACATTTACACCGGGAATAAATTAAATGC